GCCTGGAGCGTTGAGCGGGACGACCTCGGGGCAGACGTGAAGGCCGCAAGCGCGTCGTCGTCGAGCATCGCTGGCAGCGCGCGCAGGGCCGTGGTGTCGGACCACCCCGACATTTCTTGATGCGCGATGAACCGTCGCTGGAAGGCTCCCCAGTCGCCCCCGTCCGCCTTGAACACCGACAGCGCGGGCAATCGTTGCTGGAGAACTCGATCGTCGTCGTCGTCGTTGGAACGATTTTCCCGCGCGCTGCTGTGGTTGTAGAAAATGTCGGCTCCCTCTGCAGGCGCAAAATGGAGAGCTCCGGCGCTCGCCGATGACGCGGGCTGCGCTGTGTGGAGACCTCTGGCCACGTGGTGTCCGCGTTTCCCGCCAACCGGAGGCGGACCCTCAAAAATGGCGCCAACTCCCAAACTTTTGGCGCGAAACGCCTTATGGCGGGAACCCTCCAGCCGCGCCGCCTCTTCCAACCCCGCAGGCGTTCCACCGGCCGCTGGAACGGAGATCTCCGCCAAGATCGCAGCGGCGGCGAGCAGCAACTCCGCCAGGCGGGAGTGTGCGTCCTGCAGGCTGGTGTCGGAGGCGGGCGGAGCATCGGCCATTTCCGCGAAGTGCTGCATCGGCGGCAACTCCTCGTCTTCTCCTCCCGAGGGTGGTGTCACCGGTACGTCGTCGTCTCCCCGGTCTTGCACGTGGGAACGAGAAGTCTTCCTTGTGTCCATTCTCCTTGAAGACAGGTTTACTTCTGACGCCAGTTGTAAAGTAGTACTCGGCAGGAGACGACTTCACGGGTAGCACACTCTTTATTTTCACCAACTTGTAGTTACACGGATGACTAACACCCTACTTCGTTACACGGGTGACTAACACCCACTCAGCTACACGGGTGACCAACACCCACTCAGCTACACGGGTGACTAACACCCACTCAGCTACACGGGTGACCAACACCCACTCAGCTGTACTGACACGGGCTCTTACGCCCTGTAGCCTTCCGGGACACACCCAGCCGGGGTGCCCGTCTCGGCTCTGGGTACCCCCGTCCCGACCCACACGGGCGTCGGACTACGGTCCCCCCAGTCTCGGCTCCGAGCCACACAGGGCCCCTACCTCCTCCACCCCGTCTTCGGTCTTCAACTGGTTAACACTGACCACGAGTGCTCTCGCGCGTCCCCCTTTATACCCCTCCTGCGGACGTCGCTGAGAGTACTCACTTATCTGACCAATCACTGCGCACTCGCTACGATCCTCTTTTCCCAGCTTGTGTGAGCGCGCCTCACCACCGGCGCGCGCGTCCCTGCCACGCCCACACCGCGTGCCCAACCCCGCGCCCCGTGATCCATCACTCCCGGCGCACGTCAATACCACCACTACATATGTTTCACATTCTATCCCCGTGTGACCCTGTGCCTTGTGTGTATCTAAGAAGGAGTGGCAGTGTAGCGGTTTGCTCGAATGACCTCGATTGTCACCAAAATGCCGAAAGTCTCGTTTGTAAAATGTTATTTGCAGTGGTGACACTCATGTGTAACAGCGAGAAGGACCTGAGTTTGATTTCAGACTCGGGCGCTATGCCTTTGTGTGGGGTTTACATGTTCTCCCCCTGTTTTGTAGAGAGTGAGTGGAGTTTGTATGATCTCCCCCTGTTTTGTAGAGAGTGAGTGGAGTTTGTATGATCTCCCCCTGTTCTACAGAGCGAGTGAGTGGAGTTTGTATGATCTCCCCCTGTTCTACAGAGAGAGAGAGAGTGGAGTTTGTATGATCTCGCCCTGTTCTACAGAGTGAGTGAGTGGAGTTTGTATGATCTCCCCCTGTTCTACAGAGTAAGTGGAGTTTGTATGATCTCCCCCTGTTCTACAGAGTGAGTGGAGTTTGTATGATCTCCCCCTGTTCTACAGAGTGAGTGAGTGGAGTTGTGTGATCTCCCCCTGTTCTACAGAGTGAGTGGAGTTTGTATGATCTCCCCCTGTTCTACAGAGTGAGTGGAGTTTGTGTGATCTCCCCCTGTTCTTCAAAGTGAGTGAGTGGAGTTTGTATGATCTCCCCCTGTTCTACATAGTGAGTGAGTGGAGTTTGTATGATCTCGCCCTGTTCTACAGAGTGAGTGAGTGGAGTTTGTATGATCTCCCCCTGTTCTTCAAAGTGAGTGAGTGGAGTTTGTATGATCTCCCCCTGTTCTACATAGTGAGTGAGTGGAGTTTGTATGATCTCGCCCTGTTCTACATAGTGAGTGGAGTTTGTATGATCTCGCCCTGTTCTACAGAGTGAGTGAGTGGAGTTTGTATGATCTCCCCCTGTTCTACAGAGTAAGTGGAGTTTGTATGATCTCCCCCTGTTCTACAGAGTGAGTGTAGTTTGTATGATCTCCCCCTGTACTACAGAGTGAGTCAGTGGAGTCAACCAAACATCCCGATGTAGCAGGCTCCCTCCGAAGAAGAGTCTTGGCTAAAAACATTATTATTGTCTGGCCCATCGAGTGAAGCTTTGTTTGCGCGGCACGTGAGACGTACTAGACAATCATCAGGCGCGTGCAGCGTGCAACGCGCTGACTTGTATTGCAACGCGCGGGAGTAAACGGGTTAAACACGGAACGGACGTGGTGGGGATGGGGGGGGGAGACTGGAGTTTAGGGGAAAACCGTGTTGTCAAAGTTGAACATGTAAAGACGAAAGCAAATGCGCGTACAGCGCAATGAATCCCTCGCTTTAAAGCGGCGCTTTTCTTGAACGCCATCTACCGCGTTAAGCGAGGAACTGCTGCTCGCTGCACTCGCTCGCCAGAGGTCGCAACCGGGTACCCGATACCCGTACCCTACCCGATACCCGGCTACCCGTACCCGGCCGGGTACCCGTTTGCGACCCTGGTGCGGCCGGGTACGGGTAGGCCGTGAGTCACTGGTGAGTAACCGTTTGTCACTCATTTCCCAACATCTTGACTCTTCTCACAATTCAAGTTCCTAGAATCAACCCACCCGCGCCTGCAACATGGCTTCATCCCAGAGGTCGCAATCAGGTACCCTATACCCGTACCCTACCCGTACCCGGCCGGGTACCCGTTTGCGACCCTGGTGCGGCCGGGTACGGGTAGGGTACGGGTATAGGGTACGGGTACCCGTTTGCGACCCTGGTGCGGCCGGGTACGGGTACGGGTAGGCCGTGAGTTCCTCGTGAGTAACTGTTTGTCACTCATTTTCCAACGTCTTGTCTCTTCTCACATTTCAAGTTCCTAGAATCAACCCACCCGCGCCTGCAACATGGCTTCATCCCAGAGGTCGCAATCAGGTACCCGATACCAGGCCGGGTACGGGTAGGGTAGGGGTACGGCCGGGTACGGGATACCCATTTGCGACCCTGATGCGGCCGGGTACGGGTAAGGAATCAAAACCCGTTTGCGACCTCTGTTGCTCGCTCGCGCCCCTGCAAGTCGAAGGGGCCTCCGCTAGGGGGAGGTCTGGAGCGAGGTCTCCGGTGTATTTTGTCGGCGGCAAAGAGGCGAGATGACCGAGCTCAGGAGGGCTATGCGACTGCACGCGAGCGAGTGGGGGAAGGATGGGATGGAGAACACAATGACGGAGGCGTTTTCTCGGCAGTGGCAAGATAAAGACTGACAACACCAAAAATAGTCTGCGGGTATCTGTGTGAGTCTGTGTAGGTGAGTCTGTGGGTCTCTGTGTGAGTCTGTGGGTCTCTGTGTGTCTGTGGGTCTCTGTGTGAGTTTGTGGGTATGTGTGAGTCTGGGTATGTGAGTCTGTGGGGCTCTGTGTGAGTCTGTGGGTCTCTGTGTGAGTTTGTGGGTATGTGAGACTGTGGGTCTCTGTGTGAGTCTGTGGGTCTCTGTGTGAGTCTGTGGGTCTCTGTGTGAGTCTGTGGGTATGTGAGACTGTGGGTCTCTGTGTGAGTCTGTGGGTCCTAGTGTGAGCCAATGGGTCTCTGTGTGAGCCAATATAGGTCTATGTGTGAGTTTGTGGGTCTCCGTGTGAGTCTGTGGGTCTGTGTGAGTCTGTCGGTCTCTGTGTGGGTCTCAGTGTGAGTTTGTTGGGTCTCTGTGTGAGTTTGTTGGGTCTCTGTGTGAGTCTGTGGGTCTCTGTGTGAGTATGTGGGTCTCTGTGTGAGTTTGTGGGTATGTGAGACTGTGGGTCTCTGTGTGAGTCTGTGGGTCTCTGTGTGAGTCTGTGGGTCTCTGTGTGAGTCTGTGGGTATGTGAGACTGTGGGTCTCTGTGTGAGTCTGTGGGTCCTAGTGTGAGCCAATGGGTCTCTGTGTGAGCCAATATAGGTCTATGTGTGAGTTTGTGGGTCTCCGTGTGAGTCTGTGGGTCTGTGTGAGTCTGTCGGTCTCTGTGTGGGTCTCAGTGTGAGTTTGTTGGGTCTCTGTGTGAGTTTGTTGGGTCTCTGTGTGAGTCTGTGGGTCTCTGTGTGAGTCTGTGGGTCTCTGTGTGAGTCTGTGGGTATGTGAGACTGTGGGTCTCTGTGTGAGTCTGTGGGTCCTAGTGTGAGCCAATGGGTCTCTGTGTGAGCCAATATAGGTCTATGTGTGAGTTTGTGGGTCTCCGTGTGAGTCTGTGGGTCTGTGTGAGTCTGTGAATCTCTGTGAGTGTGGGTCTCAGTGTGAGTTTATTGGGTCTCAGTGTGAGTTTGTTGGGTCTCTGTGTGAGTTTGTTGGGTCTCTGTGTGAGTCTGTGGGTCTCGGTTTGAATTTGTAGGTCTCTGTGTGAGTATGTGGGTCTCTCTGAGTTTGTTGGGTCTCTGAGTTTGGGGGTCTCAGTGTGAGTCTGGATATCTTTGCGTGAGCCGATGGGTCTCGTTTCGCTGTTGGGAGTCTGTCGGTCTCTGTGCGAGTCTCGAAGCGATTCTGTGGGGCTCTGGGAGAATCTGTGGCTCAAAAATGTGCAAGGCTAATGGGCCTCTGTGTGGGTCTGCGAATCTCGTTAAGTCGATGAAAAGATAAAATGTTGCTGACAAAAACCACCACCACCACAACAGCAACAACAACTACAGACAGATATTTTCTTTTTTAAGAAAATCACTTTTAAATTTATTAAAGACTGAGATCACCCTGTTAAATGGCTACAACAATAATCAGAAATGGAGCATCGGATCAACTCCAGGATGTGCGAACCAGCGTAGTAGTATAAGCATGTAGTAGTATAAGCATGTAGTAGTATAAGCATGTACATTGCGTCGTGTTCACAGTGGCAACATTCCGCTTATGGGCCAGCGTTTAATTACACATTGAATACCGTCAAACGTCCACCTTGGTTGTACAGCTGTGGGTCAGAGCACAGGAATAGAGTGGTGGGGGTGGATGGTTGGGGTGGAGCGGTGGAGGTGGAGCAGTGGGGATGGAGCGCTGGAGGTAGAGCTGTGGCGAGTTCACTTTCCTACGAACTCAGCCACTTGACGAGTTCGATTCCGGGCCACGGCCAATATCAGTGGCTCGGAGTGATAGCTCATTCAGTCCTGAACAACATCACCACTCACCCCGCTCACCATCCCCGCTCACCACCCACCCCCCATCACCAATTTACTGCACCAACCTGCACTGACCAGAATGGCGAAGTATGGTTAATGACCTCCATAACCGGCACAGCATGGGGAGGGCATTCATCCAGCAGTGGATTGAGTGTACATTACATTTTTGTAAAAAATCAACATTTGCAATTTAATTGTTACAATTTATTAAAAACATTGTTATTTTTTTGTTGCATATCAAGTGCTATTAATTAAGCGCTATTACACACGCAGGATCGCCAAAATTGTCCCAAAGTTGGCCCAACGTTGGGCCAACATCCTAACAACACCAACACGCCAACGTTGACCCAACGTTCTCAACAACAACACGCCAACGTTGATCCAACGTTGGGCGTGCTTCCCGGTACGGTACCCAATAAACGTGAAATGTCGGGCCAAAGGTTCCAAACCACATGCCGCCGGTGGCCCAGCGTTGGCACGCTTGAGAGCAAGGGGCGGCGCGCTGTCGTGGGTACTCCACGAATGGTGAACCGGTTACTGACAGCTGCTCCCTCCTGCAGTCATTCCGTTCAATTACGGGGAGTACCGTACACACGGCAGTAATGTCGCGGTGATATAAACGGGGCGGTCACGCGGGGTGGGGGGGGGGATTCAATTGAATTTAAAACGCCGCTCGCTGTGCGTTGCGCGAAGTCTGACGTTTTGCACCACGTGCCTCCTCCCCACCCCGTTCCTGAAGAAGATCGTAGGGCATGTGAAGCGAAACGTCGGACATCGGGCACGCTGGGCGCAGCCTGGAATCGCATCGGAGAGCCACAACCGCGGAAAATCTACGCAGTAGTGTGATTTAAAAAATATATAGAATATATATCGATGTTATTGGCCGAGCCTTTTCACGTAGGCGTACTGTTCGTAAACTCGTACACACAGCGGCTAGTGCGTACGCCTATCTGCATATGTGTGTGTGTGTATATGTGCACATGTGCGTATGAAGGTTTACGGGTTTCAATAACATTGTGGCCCCATGATCCACAGGAGGGTAGAGTAGAGATGCAGGCTGCAGAGTAGAGACACAGGCTGCAGAGTAGAGACACATGCTGCAGAGTAGAGACACATGCTGCAGAGTAGAGACACATGCTGGAGAGTAGAGACACGAGCTGTGGAGTGGAGACACAGGCTGCAGAGTGGAGACACAGGCTGCAGAGTAGAGACACAGGCTGCAGAGTAGAGACACAGGCTGCAGAGTAGAGACACAGGCTGCGGAGTGGAGACACGGGCTGCGGAGTGGAGACACGGGCTGCGGAGAGACACGGGCTGCGGAGTGGAGACACGAGCTGCGGAGTGGAGACACAGGCTGGAGAGAGACACGGGCTGCGGAGTAGAGATACGGGCTGGAGAGAGACACGGGCTGCGGAGTGGAGACACGGGCTGCGGAGTGGAGACACGAGCTGCGGAGTGGAGACACGGGCTGGAGAGAGACACGGGCTGGAGAGAGACGCATGCTGCGGAGTGGAGACGCGGGCTGCGGAGTGGAGACACGAGCTGCGGAGTGGAGACACGGGCTGGAGAGAGACACGGGCTGCGGAGTGGAGACACGAGCTGCGGAGTGGAGACACGGGCTGCGGAGTGGAGACACGGGCTGCGGAGTGGAGACACGGGCTGCGGAGTGGAGACACGAGCTGCGGAGTGGAGACACGGGCTGCGGAGTGGAGACACGGGCTGCGGAGTGGAGACACGGGCTGCGGAGTAGAGACACGGGCTGGAGAGAGACGCGGGCTGCGGAGTGGAGATGCAGCCTCTCACAGGCTGGTGTCCTGCTCCATGCCGTACTCCTTGTAGAGTCTCTGCAGGAGCTGCTTCTTGTCGGGCTCCGCCAGGAACCCCGCACGTGCCGCGTTCAGGTTCTACACGGGGACGGGAGAAGCACAAACACAGAGAGCCACAGACTCACGCAGAGAGCCACAGGCTCACACAGAGAGCCACAGACTCATGCAGAGACCCACAGACGCACGGAGAGAGCCACAGGCTCACACAGAGAGCCACAGACTCACGCAGAGACCCACAGACGCACGGAGAGACCTACACTCACGCAGAGAGCCACAGACTCACGCAGAGACCCATAGACTCACGCAGAGAGTGACAGACTCACGCAGAGAGCCACAGAGACCCACAGACTCACGTAGAGACCCACAGACTCACGGAGAGAGCCACAGACTCACGTAGAGACCCACAGACTCACGCAGAGAGCCACAGACTCACGCAAAGAGCCACAGAGACCCACAGACTCACGTAGAGACCCACAGACTCACGCAGAGAGCCACAGACTCACGTAGAGACCCACAGACTCACGCAGAGAGCCACAGACTCACGCAGAGAGCCACAGACTCACGCAGAGACCCACAGACTCACGCAGAGAGCCACAGACTCACGCAGAGAGCCACAGACTCACGCAGAGAGCCACAGACTCACGCAGAGAGCCACAGACTCACGCAGAGAGCCACAGACTCACACAGAGAGCCACAGACTCACGCAGAGAGCCACAGACTCACGGAGAGACCCACATACTCACGCAGAGAGCCACAGACTCACGCAGAGATCCACAGACTCACGCAGAGACCCACAGACTCACGCAGAGAGCCACAAACTCACGCAGAGATCCACAGACTCACGCAGAGACCCACAGACTCACGCAGAGAGCCACAGACTCACGCAGAGACCCACAGACTCACGCAGAGACCCACAGACTCACGCAGAGACCCACAGACTCACGCAGAGACCCACAGACTCACGCAGAGACCCATATACTCAGAGACCTATAGCCACACAGAGACTCATAGACTCATGCAGAGGACCCACAGACTCACATCGAAACCCATAGACTCACAGAAACCCATCGATCTGCCTTAGCAGTCTCCCACCACTTGGCCTGAGTCGCCTTCTCTTCTCCCTGGTCGCCAGACTCATGGGGACCACTCCCAATACTGGTCTCTGCAATCGGCCCTCCTCCTCCTCCTCCACCCTGCCCAGTGACGGCTGCATCACTCACCTGCCGTGTCTCCAACCTGCCACGTCGCTTACCCCATCCACCTCCTCCTCCTCCACCCTGCCCAGTCACGGCCACATCACTCACCTGCCGTGTCTCCAACACTCAAGTCGCTTACCCCATCATCCTCCTCCTCCTCCTGCACCCTGCCCAGTGACGGCCACATCACTCACCTGCCGTGTCTCCAACACCCAAATCGCTTACCCCATTCTCCTCCTCCTCCACCCTGGCCAGTCACGGTCACATCACTCACCTGCCGTGTCTCCAACACCCAAGTCGCTAATCCCATCCTCCTCCTCCTCCACCCTGCCCAGTCAGGGCCACATCACTCGACCACCTGCTCTCCCGTCTTCTCTACGGGACGTCTGGCTGCATTCCTCGTTTCTTGGCGCACAACTCCTGGCATCCCTCTCGAAGACACCTGGGCCTCAAATTTGCTGTGCTATACTCTTAGTTCTTTCGGTAAAGTCACGTAGGTAAAAAATGAAATTAAAATGAATAAAAATAAAATAATAAAATCAATGACGTTTCTGGAGGCAACACAAGTCTCCGTCATCAGGTGGGACCGTCACAGCCAGATTTGCTGCAAATCTGTCATCAGGTGGGACCGTCACAGCCAGATTTGCCAGATTTGCTGCAAATCTGGCTGTGACGGTCCCACCTGATGACGGAGACTTGTGTTGCCTCCAGAAACGTCATTGATTTTATTATTTTATTTTTATTCATTTTAATTTCATTTTTTACCTACGTGACTTTACCGAAAGAACTAAGAGTATGAATCCTTGCAGTCACGAAAGCTTCAAATCTAGAATGTGCTGTGCTAGTGACGAATTGGTCACGTCCTGTTTACGTGACAACCCTTGCTAGTTGGCCGTGCCGGGTAGGTGGCGGGTTTTAACGACACGTTTATACATTGACGCGATCTCACCCAAATCAAAACCTCTGTTACCAACTTCCTCTGGAGCTGCTCAGAGACAGCTGCTGCCGCTGTTTACCGCCGCTGCCGCCGCTGTTACCGCTATTACCGCTGTCACTGTTGTTGTCGCTGCTGCCGCTGTTACCGTTCACTTACCAGCTCCATGAAGTCCGAGTCCGTGAACCCTCCGTACTTCCGCAGGATTTTGTAGTCGGTGGCGAGCGTGGAGTCGAAGATCAAGGGGTCGTCGGTGTTGATGGAGAAGTTGGCCTTGTCCTTGTGGAACCTGCGTGCGTGCGCGTTCGTCGCAGGACCATGCTCAATCCACTGCTGGACGAAGGCCTCCGCCTCCTGTGCTCCCCCCCCCTCTCCCCCCCCCCCCCCCCCGGCGTCTCTCGTTCACGTCGCGGTCTGGCCGTCAGAATCAAACGCTCTGAAGAAGGGCCATTTCCCCGGAACGCCGCCTGTTATGTCTAATCTAATTTAATGTTTACGTAGAGCGCCTCTAGATTTGAAGCTTTCGTGACTGCAAGTATTCATATTCTTAGGTTTTTTCGGTAAATTCACGGAGGTAAAAAACAAAAATTAAAATTAATAAAAGTAAAATAAAAATAAAATAAAATATCACGACGTTTCGGAGGCAACACAAGCCTCCGTCTTCAGGTGGAACCGTCACAGCACGCTTGCTGCAGCAAGCGTGCTGTGACGGTTCCAGGCTTGTGTTGCGTCGTGATTTTTTATTTTATTTTAATTTTACTTTTATTAATTTTAATTTTAGTTTTTTACCTACGTGACTTTACCGAAAAAACCTAAGAATAGTAGAGCGCCTCCTTCGCTCAAGGCGCTTTTCATACAAAGCGGTGACAGAATGGAATGGTTGAGATGGAAGGGGCAGTGCAAGGGTTGATGAATGGGCAGCACCGTGGCATGGAGATGTTAACCACCTCGCCTGGTGTGCAGGAGGTCGTGGGTTCGATCCCTGACCCCTGACGCCTGCTGCTGTATATTTGGAGTGTTCGGTGTCTCTCTCTCTCATCATCAGCATGGTGGCTAGGAGATGTTAACCACCTCGCCTGGTGTGCAGGAGGTCGTGGGTTCGATCCCTGACCCCTGACGCCTGCTGCTGTATATTTGGAGTGTTCGGTGTCTCTCTCTCTCATCATCAGCATGGTGGCTAGGAGATGTTAACCACCTCGCCTGGTGTGCAGGAGGTCGTGGGTTCGATCCCTGACCCCTGACGCCTGCTGCTGTATATTTGGAGTGTTCGGTGTCTCTCTCTCTCATCATCAGCATGGTGGCTAGGAGATGTTAACCACCTCGCCTGGTGTGCAGGAGGTCGTGGGTTAGATCCCTGACCCTTGACGCCTGCTGCTGTATATTTGGAGTTTGCGTGTCTCTCTCTCATCATCAACACGGTGGCTTGGAGATGTTAACCACCTCGCCTGGTATGCAGGAGGTCGTGGGTTCGATCCCTGACCCCTGACGCCTGCTGCTGCTGTATATTTGGAGTTTGCGGTGTCTCTCTCTCTCTCTCCGTGGTCGCGTGGATTTTTCTCCGGGTCCTCCGGTTTTTCCACCGGGACATTTGGAATCAGCGTCACGTCACGCCTTTAGAGTAATTTGACCGCTGCAAACGTTCACGCGATGATGACGAGCCACCTCGTTGGGCTATCATTCGTGTGCGGCCAAGGTCGCATTCTCAAAAACGTTGCTGGACAGCTCAGTGGGCCTTACCTGGTCCAATAAAAAAACTAACCCGTAAAAACAAAGTTTTTCACTATAAATCCTTTATATGCGTGGCATCGGTTTTATTTTATTATTCATTTCTCTTTTTCTTGAGTAAGGGTTTCATTTTTATCACATTGGTATTTTAAATTAAATATGACATTTTTTTTTCCTAAAAAGTGTAAACTTTTGGAAAAAAAATTTCACAAAAATAAATTGTCACGCACAACGAGTCTGTGTGCAAAATGTCAGCTCGATTGGATCACGGGAAGTGGGTTAAAAAACGACCGAAATATTTGCACGGTCGTAAGCGCGCAAGCAAGCGAGCGAACTTAATATAAAGGATTTAAAAATAGGTTGCGTATAAACAAACAACACTTTTGAGTTTGAACGAGTGACAGTGATAGAGTGGCTCGTAGGGGTGACGAAAGGGTAGGGGATGGACGGGACGGAGTGGAGGGGCGATGGAGAGGAGGCGAGGCTGAGAGAGAGGAACAGAATGATGTCCGGCTCCTCCAGATATTCCCCCTCCACATTTAGAATCAACATCCAAGCCCCTTCAGAGTCATTTGGCCTCAGCAGTGATGATGATTGATGATTCGTGTGTGACGGGCCAAGGTCGCATTTTCTTAGGTTTTTTCGGTAAAGTCACGTAGGTAAAAAAATTAAAATTAATAAAAGTAAAATAAAATTATTTATTTTACCTACGTGACTTTACCGAAAAAAACCTAAGAATATAAATCCTTGCAGTCACGAAAGCTTCAAATCTAGAATCAAGGTCGCATTCTCCGAAGAAAATGGCTATGCACCACAAGTGGGCCTTACCTGGTACGATCAAAATAAAAAGTCTAAAATAATGATGACGGTGGCCGTGGTGGTGGTGGTGATGGTGGTGGTGATGGTGGTGGTGGTGATGGTGGTGGTGATGGTGGTCGTGGTGATGGTGGTGGTGATGGTGGTGGTGGGGATGGTGGTCGTGGTGGTGGTGGTGGTGATGGTGGTCGTGGTGGTGGTGGTGATGGTGGTGGTGATGGAGGTCGTCGTGGTGGTGGTGGTGATGGTGGTGGTGATAGTGGTGGTGATGGTGGTGGTCGTGGTGGTGGTGATGGTGGTCGTGGTGGTGGTGGTGATGGTGATGGAGGTCGTCGTGGTGGTGGTGGTGATGGGGGTGGTGATAGTGGTGGTGATGGTGGTGGTCGTGGTGGTGGTGATGGTGGTGGTGGTCACGACGACGACATGAGGACCCACCTCACGATGGGGTGTTTCGAGAAGTCCGCCTCCTTCTCGCCGGAGAGGCAGGCTCCCGTCAGGTAGCTGGACCAGGGGCAGATCTGCAAAGCGGGGGGGGGGGGGGTGTACAGCACCGCAGTTTGTTCGCTCTCCACGCTTCTGCCACAAGGGGTCTCCAACTCTCCGGCCACTCGGGGGAGAATATAGATCGGTGGGGGGGGGTAACGTCCGGCCCGCGGGCCGTATGAGGTCCGCTAAAATCACTTGGTGTGGCTTTGCCAAGGCAACCGCAGGCGGGACTCGAAATTCAATAAATCTCGGAGCAAACCTGGAAAAGCAGTTGCAAGTAGCAGCAGCAACATCATCAACACCAGCTCGCATCATCACACGCCTCGCCAAAGAGAAGCAGTTCCAGCCGAAGCATTAGGGGCGAGTTAATTAAACGTTTGACCAAATATAAACGGGCTAATTTTTAAGTTGACTATTTTGTATGGCCCGCGAATGATGTTATATAAATATACAAATGGCCCTTGGCAGAACAAAGGTTCCCCACCCGTGGTCTAGAGGGTCCCAGGTGCAGCTGCTGCCGCTGCTGCTGCAGAGAGGGCGGTGAGTGCAGCGTGAAAGCGGCCATCTTTGTTGGGTGAGTGAGTGGGTGAGTGAGCGGGTGGGTGGGTGAGTGGGAGGGTGGGTGAGTGAGTGAGTGGGTGAGAGGGTGGGTGAGTGGGTGGATGGGTGAGTGAGTGGGTGGGTGAGTGAGTGGGTGGGTGGATGGGTGAGTGAGTGGGTGAGTGAGTGGGTGGGTGAGTGAGTGGGTGGGTGGGTGAGTGGGTGGGTGGGTGGGTGAGTGAGAGGGTGGGTGGGTGAGCGGGTGAGAGGGTGGGTGAGTGAGTGAGAGGGTGGGTGAGTGGGTGGGTGAGTGGGTGGGTGGGTGAGTGAGTGGGTGGGTGGGTGAGTGGGTGGGTGGGTGAGAGGGTGGGTGGGTGAGAGGGTGGGTGGGTGAGTGGGTGGGTGAGAGGGTGGGTTGTTCGACCTCCATGCTCCCGCATCTACACCCCTCACCCTTCACCAATCCCGCACTGATAGCCGGCGTGGTGAAGTATGGTCAAATACCCCCCCTGCCCCCCCCCGCGCGTGACCTGCACGGCACGTGGGGGGAGGCCCTCACTCACCCAGTGGCCAGCGCGCGCTGAGGCTACGAACCCGGCATCCCGGGTTCGATTCCCGCTCGCGGCCAACACCGGTAACGATTACCTGAATAGGTACCTGGGCCTCCCTTAGGTCGACTCGGCCTCAAATGAGTACCTGGTGCGATTTATAAAAGCATTTGTCACGAAGGAGACAAAGGCGGCCGGGCGTGGTGCTGGCCACCCCCACCCCCTCGTGTGCTGTGCCATCCTTCATAGGTGCTCGCTAACAGCTCTTGCCCTAACAGTCCTGTTAAGGCTATACGGGGGATCTTCGCCTTTGCGTGCGTTTGTGTGAAGCGGTCGCTACGAACCCGGCAGCCCGGGTTCGATTCCCAACACCAGCGGCGATTATCCGAACCGGACCGTGGGCCTCCCCTAGGTCGACTCGGCCTCAAACGAGTACCTGGTGCGGTGTGTAGTAACCATCGCCACCGAGGGAGACAAAGGCGGCCGGGCGCGGCTCTGGCCGCACCGCGCCATCGCGGGCGCTCGCCCCGTCGCCTTGAAAACGACTACGCGGGGGACCTTTGGCTTTGTCTTTGCTCGCACTACCTCGAAGTGCATGTTGGCCTTGAGCAGGCGCGCGTAGAGCTCCGGGTCCTCCAGGGTGTGGTAGCCGTGGCCGATCCTCTCCGCCCGCAACACGTCCACCGCCTGCCACCAAAGACAAAGATACACCCCCCACACCGTGTAGCCTTCACAGACCGTCGGGGCAAGTGCTGTCAGCGAGTGCCTATGAAGGCCGGCACGGTGGCACACGAGATGGGTAGCCAGCGGTACGCCCGGCCGCCTTTGTCTCCCCGGTGGCGATGTTTTATGCATCGCACCGAGCGCTCATGTGAGGCTGAGTCGACCCCGCACCGGTTTAGATCATCGTCAACGGTGTTGGCCGTGAGCGGGAATCGAACTCGAGTCGCCGGGTTTGTCGCGCGGCGTAGCGCTGACCGCTGCGTTGGACGCGCTGGACGCACGCCCGGTAATGATGCATGATGTCATCAGCGAATCAGTGTCCCCGTTAATCATGGGGCAATCACAGGGCTGGACGCTCATTGTCATCATCACCACCCGCGTCATTACCCACTACGCACACGCACTCTCATACCTCTCTCATCTCACTCCCCTCCAAGCACACTCTCCTACCTCTCATCTCACTCCACTCCCCTCCACGCACTCTCCTGCCTCTCCCCTCTCATCTCACTGTACTCCCCTCCACGCACTCTCCTGCCTCTCCCCTCTCATCTCACTCCACTCCCCTCCACGCACTATCCTACCTCTCCCCTCTCATCTCACTCCACTCCCCTCCACGCACTCTCCTGCCTCTCCCCTCTCAACTCACTCTACTCCCCTCCACACACTCTCCTACCTCTCCCCTCTCATCTCACTCCACTCCCCTCCACGCACTCTCCTACCTCTCCCCTCTCATCTCACTTTACTCCCCTCCACGCACTCTCCTACCTCTCCCCTCTCATCTCACTCCACTCCCCTCCACGCACTCTCCTACCTCTCCCCTCTCATCTCACTTTACTCCCCTCCACGCACTCTCCTGCCTCTCCCCTCTCATCTCACTCCACTCCCCTCCACGCACTCTCCTACCTCTCCCCTCTCATCTCACTCCACTCCCCTCCACGCACTCTCCTACCTCTCCCCTCTCATCTCACTCCACTCCCCTCCACGCACTCTCCTGCCTCTCCCCTCTCAACTCACTCTACTCCCCTCCACACACTCTCCTACCTCTCCCCTCTCATCTCACTCTACTCCCCTCCACGCACTCTCCTGCCTCTCCCCTCTCAACTCACTCTACTCCCCTCCACGCACTCTCCTACCTCTCCCCTCTCATCTCACTCCACTCCCCTCCACGCACTCTCCTGCCTCTCCCCTCTCATCTCACTCTACTCCCCTCCACGCACTCTCCTGCCTCTCCCCTCTCATCTCACTCCACTCCCCTCCACGCACTCTCCTGCCTCTCCCCTCTCATCTCACTCCACTCCCCTCCACGCACTCTCCTACCTCTCCCCTCTCAACTCACTCTACTCCCCTCCACGCACTCTCCTACCTCTCCCCTCTCATCTCACTCCACTCCCCTCCACGCACTCTCCTGCCTCTCCCCTCTCATCTCACTCTACTCCCCTCCACGCACTCTCCTGCCTCTCCCCTCTCATCTCACTCCACTCCCCTCCACGCACTCTCCTACCTCTCCCCTCTCATCTCACTCTACTCCCCTCCACGCACTCTCCTGCCTCTCCCCTCTCATAAAGCCACAGACTCACACGATATCCACATGCTCACACAAAGACCCATAGACTCGCACCCATAGGCTCATCACAGAGACCCATAGACTCACACAGTGACCCATAGACTCACACAGAGACACCCATAGGCTCATCACACAGAGACCAATAGGCTTGCCACACACAGACCATTAGACTCATCACATAGAAGCCCATAGACTCACAGAAATCCACAGTTTCCCAACAGAGACCTATTCATGACTGCCTCTCGCTCAAATAAACACACCCGCGGTGTCCGCGCCGCGTCGAGTTGCTGTCTATGGTCTATGAACATCTGGCAGGCCGCCAGCTTTGGTTCAAGCGAGGCCCCGACGCTGCTGCTGCAGCTCATGTTGTTGTTGATGCTGAAGATTATGGGACACTGCATGTTAAAACCGGTCCAGAGTGTGCGTCCCCAGCGTTGAACCGATGCTGCTGAACTACTTGGTTCATTCGGTAAAGTTACGTAGAAGGAAAATAATAAAAATGAAACATAATAAAATACAATTCTCACGACGTTTCGGCCACAAAGCAAGCAGCCGTCCTCAGGTGAAGAACAGGTCTGTCGGGAAGACAGCGTCCGAATGAACACCACCAAGCTTGGCAGCGTATATATAAGCTGGGTTGGAGGGGGAGAGCGCCTTGACAAAGGAATTTGCATATCAACAGAGGAATTTAGCATATTTATGGCAAATGCAGACATGGGATTAGTCACTACTTGTGGAATATGTAGGTGGTGGGGAGGTCTCAAAGTCATATTATTGCTCGTGCATTATGTAGGATTAGCAGTCATAAAGAGAGGAATTCGTTGTGGCCGAAACGTCGTGAGAATTGTATTTTATAATGTTTTATTTTTATTATTTTATTATTTCCCTTCCACGTGACTTTACCGAAAGAACCAAGAAGATGGATCCCTGCAGTCACGAAAGCTTTGAACCGATGCTGCTGAGCTACAGGCACTGCCACAAGAAAGGCTGTGGGGATGATGGGAAGCGTAGAGGAAAACATGTATTTATTTACACTATGAGACCTCTTTTACCAGTGGCAAAATATAGTAGTAGGTTTTTACCCTTTAAACTGGTACAAAACTGACGCCTTTATACAAGGCATCATGTTTGCAATAACCGCAACACAAGCAGTCAAAATGCAAACAAAAAGAAACAACTCTGATAATGGTAATGATATGCACTGTCCTTGAAGTTGATTGGTCCACACCCGAGACAGCTTTTCTTAGAGCCTAGTCTCCATTGGTGTTGGACCAGATGAAGCCAAAAGGCGTACAACTCAAAAACAGTGCACTATCAGAGTATTGAGAGCTCGGGGTAAGCATTAACACTATGAGACCTCCTTTACCAGTGGCAAAATATAGTAGTAGGTTTTTACCCTTTAAACTTGTACAAAATTGACACCTTTATACAAGGCATCAATTTTGAGTTGTACGCCTTTTGGCGTCATCTGGTCCAACACCAATGGAGACGAGGCTCTAAGGAAAGCTGTTTCGGGTGTGGACCAATCAACTTCAAGGACAGTGCATATCATTACCATTATCAGAGTTGTTTCTTTTTGTTTGCATTTTGACTGCTTGTGTTGCGGTTATTGCAAACATGATACCTTGTATAAAGGTGTCAGTTTTGTACCAGTTTAAAGGGTAAAAACCTACTACTAATGTATTTATTTCTTGACCAGGACAGATATGAGGAGGACGTGTAAGTGTGATCCTGTCTATCGTCATGTATCGGACCATCAGGAGAAGGTGTATTCTCGGTTCTTTTGGTAAAAAGTCACGTAGATAGAAAATAACAATAATGAAATGAAATTAAAAAATAAATTGAAAATCATAAAAGCAAAAAACCCACGACGTTTCGTTGCGATCGAAACGTCGTGGGTTTTTCGCCTTAATTATTTTCAATTCATTTTTATTTTTAAATTTTTATTTAATTACGTCATTTTTATTTTCGATCTCTACGCGACTTTACCGAAAGAACCAAGAACATGAATTTCTGCAGTCAGGAAAGTGTCAAGTCAGGAGAAGGTAACCATTTACACCATTGGAACCTCATTTGCCAGTGAAAAATATGATAATTGTATTTTTACCCTTCTATCTGGCAACAAAACTGACACCTTTTTTACAAGGAGTCATGTTTACATAGACCACAATACCTGCAGTCATAATGCAAACAAAAAACACAACTCTGATCATGTGCGCCTTTTGGCGTCATCTGGTCCAACCCATGTGAGACTAGGCTCAAGGAAAGCTGTCTCGGGTGTGGACCAATCAACTTCAAGGACAGTGCACATTATCAGAGTTATGTTTTTTGTTTGCATTATGACTGCAGGTATTGTGGTCTATGTAAACATGACTCCTTGTAAAAAAGGTGTCAGTTTTGTTGCCAGATAGAAGGGTAAAAACACAATTATCAGGAGAAGGTGTTATCCTTCTTCACCCCCCTCCTCCTCCTCACCCCGCACCCCCCTCACCTCCTCGACGACCTTCGATGACCCCACCTCTCCAGCGTGGACCGTGCGGTGAACGCCGCCCCTCACCGCCTCCTGGTGACACCGACAACAAGGACGACAAAGTACGGGTCCACCCCTCCATCCCACCGTGTAGCCTGCGTCGGCTGTAGAGGCAAGTGCAGTGAGCTGCACCACCGCTCCCCGCAAATTACACCACATCCGTGGGGTGTGTCGGGGTGTGTCGGGGGTGTGTCGGGGTGTGTGCGGGTGTGTCGGGGGTGTGTGCGGGTGTGTCGGGGGTGTGTGGGGGTGTGTGGGAGTGTGTGGGGGTGTGTGGGGGTGTGTGAGGGTTTGTGGGGGTGTGTGGGGGTGTGTAGGGGGTGTGTGGGGGTGTGTCGGGGGTGTGTGGGGGTGTGTGGGGGTGTGTGGGGGGGGGTGTGGGGGTGTGTGGGGGTGTGTGTGGGGGGGTGTCCTCCGAGTGTAGTGGGTTGGTGTGGTGCACCCAGCTACATTCGCTCAGTGTGAGATGTGGGTGGTGTGGGTGGCGTGGGTGGTGTGTGATGGCTGTGGGTGGTGTGAGTGACTTCGGTGGTGTGAGGGGTGTGGGTGCTGTGGGTGACTTGGGTGGTGTGGGTAGGTGACTTGAGTGGTGTGGGTGGGTGACTTGGGTGGTGTGTGAGGGGTGTGGGTGCTGTGGGTGACTTGGGTGGTGTGGGCGGTGTGGGTAGGTGACTTGAGTGGTGTGGGTGGGTGACTTGGGTGGTGTGTGAGGGGTGTGGGTGGCGTGGGTGATGTGGGTGACTTGGGTGGTGTGGGTGGTGTGTGTGGTGTGGGTGGTGCGCCGCCCACCAGGAAGGTTGTGCGGTGGGGGCCCCCGGCCTCGGCCACCAGGGACTCGTCCCCCGCCAGGTCGATGGCCACCACCCCGTGGTCCCTGTACTTGAGGCACAGCCTCAGCACCTCCGGCGACCAGTCTAGCCACACACGCACACACAGACAAAGGTCCCCCGTGTAGCCTCGGCAGCCTGTTGGGGCAAGTGCCCGCTAGCGAGTAGCAAGCGCCAGTCCCGGATTATCCCAGCAGCACAAGTAGCTACATGTGTAGTAGCTACTACACGTGTAGTAGCTACATGTGTAGTGGTGATACGCGCTGGGATTAGGGATCGTATGCCAGCGCGTAATGATTGGCTGTGTAGGTGGTGACGCGCGCTGACGGTGGAGGATCAGGGGTCAGCGCGGGGTCGTGGGTTACGGGGTACTGATTGGCTGTGGGCCGGTGACGCGCTGAGAGGGAGTGATCGGGTGGCAGCGCGGTGTGATTGGTGGAGTAGTGTTAACACGCGCTGGGGAAAACGGATCGTAGAGAGAGTGCGTCGTGATTGGATCACTAAGGAACGATGCTCACGTCGACGTCCGCATCAGCTCCGTCTCTCGTGAGCAGGGGCTATAAAAGGGAATGCACACAGGCGTAAGAGCAGTATGTAACCAGCGAAGAATGAAGATGGGGATGTAGACCTAGGGCCCTGCGGTACCTAGTCCCGCTGTCCTAACGGGACCGGGACTCTGTGTAACCCAGAGGCGAGTGTAGTGTGTGTAGCCATAGGCATAAGGTCTACACGAGCCGAATGCATTGTGTGTAGCCAGGGGCATAGGGTCTACACGAGTCGAGTGTATTGTGTAGCCAGAGGCATAGGGTCTACACGAGTCAAGTGTAGCGTGTGTAGCCAGAGGCATAGAGTTTACACGAGATTAGTGGAGTGTGTAGCCGGAAGAAGGGAGACCACACGTTGTATTGTGACACGTAAAGATTTAATAAAAGTGTGTTACCCGTCAAGAAGTTCCCGCCGTCAATTACAATACTTCACATGTGTAGTAGCTACTACATGTGTAGTAGCTACTACACATGTAGTAGCTGCTACATGTGTAGTAACTACATGTGTAGTAGCTGCACGTGTAGTAGCTGCACGTGTAGTAGCTGCATGTGTAGTAGCTGCTGCATGTGTAGTAGCTGCTGCATGTGTAGTAGCTACTGCACGTGTAGCTGCTACATGTGTAGTAACTACATGTGTAGTAGCTGCACGTGTAGTAGCTGCATGTGTAGTAGCTGCTGCATGTGTAGTAGCTGCTGCATGTGTAGTAGCTGCTGCATGTGTAGTAGCTACACGTGTAGTAGCTACATGTGTAGTAGCTACACGTGTAGTAGCTACTGCATGTATAGTAGCTACTACACGTGTAGTAGCTGCACGTGTAGTAGCTGCATGTGTAGCAGCTGCACGTGTAGTAGCTGCACGTTTCAGTAGCTACTACACGTGTAGTAGCTACTACACGTGTAGTAGCTACTGCATGTATAGTAGCTACTGCATGTATAGTAGCTACTGCATGTATAGTAGCTGCACGTGTAGTAGCTGCACGTGTAGTAGCTACTACACATGTGTAGTAGCTACTACACATGTAGTAGCTACTACACACGTGTAGCTGCTACATGTGTAGTAGCTGCACGTGTAGTAGCTGCGCGTGTAGTAGCTGCGTGTGTAGTAGCTGCTGCATGTGTAGTAGCTACACGTGTAGTAGCTACATGTGTAGTAGCTACACGTGTAGTAGCTACTGCATGTATAGTAGCTACTACACGTGTAGTAGCTGCACGTGTAGTAGCTGCATGTGTAGCAGCTGCACGTGTAGTAGCTGCACGTGTAGTAGCTGCACGTTTCAGTAGCTACTACACGTGTAGTAGCTACTACACGTGTAGTAGCTACTGCATGTATAGTAGCTACTGCATGTATAGTAGCTACTACACGTGTAGTAGCTGCACGTGTAGTAGCTGCACGTGTAGTAGCTGCACGTGTAGTAGCTACTACGTGTAGTAGCTACTGCATGTATAGTAGCTACTGCATGTATAGTAGCTGCACGTGTAGTAGCTACTACACATGTGTAGTAGCTACTACGCATGTGTAGTAGCTACTACACATGTAGTAGCTACTACACGTGTACTACACGTGTACACGTGTAGTAGCTACTGCACGTATAGTAGCTACTACACGTGTAGTAGCTACTACACGTGTAGTAGCTACTACACGTGTAGTAGCTACTACATCTGTAGTAGCTACGGGCCCCACACTTTCAAGGGCTCCGCGCTAAATGCTTTCAAGCTATCAATTCCTGTTCATGATTCTGCACTTGCTCTATTACTCTAGTACTAGACTGCCTTCAACGTTTATGAACGACTGGGTGTTTAAGGTTAGCGATTTGTCGTATTGTCTGGCTGTATAGCAAATGAAAAAATACAATTTACTATGCGAGTATAAAAATTGTGTTTGGATAGTTACGTCTTTTTAGGGCCCCGTTATATCATATGCTACAGACCGCGCCCTTGGCTTCATCCGGCACTGTACCGTGTGTACTGTCTGTACTGTGTGTACTGTGTGTGTGTACTGTGTGTGTGTATCGTATGTACTGTGTACTGTGTGTGGGTATCGTGTGTACTGTGTGTGTGTATTGTGTGTACTGTGTGTGTACTGTGTGTGTGTGTCGTGTGTACTGTGTGCACTGTGTGTACTGTGTGTGTATCGTGTGTACCGTGTACTGTGTGTATATCGTGTGTACTGTGTGTGTGTCGTATGTACTGTGTGTACTGTGTGTGTATCGTGTGTACTGTGTACTGTGTGTGTGTATCGTGTGTACTGTGTGTGTGCACTGTGTGTACTGTGTGTGTATCGTGTGTACTGTGTACTGTGTGTGTATCGTGTGTACTGTGTACTGTGTGTACTGTGTGTGTACCGTGTGTACTGTGTGTGTATCGTGTGTACTGTGTGTGTAACGTGTGTACTGTGTGTGTGTACTGTGTGTACTGTGTGTGTGTACTGTGTGTACTGTGTGTGTGTGTACTGTGTGTGTACCGTGTGTACTGTGTGTACTGTGTGTGTGTATCCTGTGTACTGTGTGTACTGTGTGTGTGTGTCGTGTGTACTGTGTGTGTGTACTGTGTGTACTGTGTGTGTGTACTGTGTGTACTGTGTGTGTATCGTGTGTACTGTGTGTGTGTACTGTGTGTACTGTGTGTGTATCGTGTGTACTGTGTACTGTGTGTGTGTATCGGGTGTACTGTGTACTGTGTGTGTACCGTGTGTACTGTGTGTGTATCGTGTGTACTGTGTGTGTATCGTGTGTACTGTGTGTGTGTACTGTGTGTACTGTGTGTGTGTACTGTGTGTACTGTGTGTGTGTGTACTGTGTGTGTACCGTGTGTACTGTGTGTACTGTGTGTGTGTATCGTGTGTACTGTGTGTGTGTGTGTATCGTGTGTACTGTGTGTGTGTACTGTGTGTACTGTGTGTGTGTACTGTGTGTACTGTGTGTGTGTATCGTGTGTACTGTGTGTGTGTACTGTGTGTGTACTGTGTGTGTGTACTGTGTGTGAGTACTGTGTGTGTGTACTGTGTGTACTGTGTGTGTGTACCGGGCATGTGCCGCATGCAGCACAGGATGGAGCGCACCGTGTGTACTGTGTGTGTACTGTGTGTGTACTGTGTGTGTGTACTGTGTGTGTACTGTGTGTGTGTACTGTGTGTGTGTACTGTGTGTGTACTGTGTGTGTGTACTGTGTGTGTACTGTGTGTGTGTACTGTGTGTGTACTGTGTGTGTACTGTGTGTGTGTACTGTGTGTGTACTGTGTATGTACTGTGTGTGTGTACCGGGCATGTGCCGCATGCAGCACAGGATGGAGCGCACCGTGTGTACTGTGTGTGTGTGTACTGTGTGTGTACTGTGTGTGTGTACTGTGTGTGTACTGTGTATGTACTGTGTGTGTGTACCGGGCATGTGCCGCATGCAGCACAGGATGGAGCGCACCGTGTGTACTGTGTGTGTACTGTGTGTACTGTGTGTGTGTACTGTGTGTGTACTGTGTGTACTGTGTGTGTGTACCGGGCATGTGCCGCATGCAGCACAGGATGGAGCGCACCGTGATGCCAAACTCCGTCTCGCCCTGGCGGAAGCCCTGGTTCACCAGCGACACCACCTCGTCCGGCGTGACGTCACCGCTGGGAGGCAAGGCACAGCCATCGTCATCGTCGTCATCATCGTCGTCGTCATCACCACCGTCGTCATCGCTATCGTCATCGCTATCGTCATCGCTATCGTCATCATCATCACTACCATCATCGTCATCGTCATCACCACCATCGTCATCGTCGTCGTCATCACCATCGTCATCACCGCCATGTTCGTCGTCATCATCGTCGTCACCACCATCGTCACCGCCATCGTCGTCGTCATCACCACCATCATCATCATCGTCGTCATCACCACCATCGTCGTCGTCATCACCACCATCGTCATCGCTATCGTCATCATCGTCATCGCTATCGTCATCATCGTCATCACCACCATCATCATCATCATCGTCGTCATCACCACCATCGTCATCGCTATCGTCATCATCGTCATCACCACCATCATCGCCACCATCGTCATCATCACTAATTTCATCATCGTCATCACTACACCATCGTCATAGTCATCGCCATCGTCATCACCACCACCATCATCACTATTACCATCATCATCATCACCACCATCGTCATCACTGACACCATCACTGACACCGTCGCCACCATCGTCATCACCATCGCCGTTCGAGTGCCGTGCCGTCTCGCCAGTGATTACAACAACAACGACAGCAGCAGCAGCCAGCCAGCATCATCAGGCGGACAGCCGCAGAGTTAATTGATTTTTTTGACCCTTCTATCTGGCAACAAAACTGACACCTTTTTTTTACAGAGAGTCATGTTTGCATAGAACACAATACCTGCAGTCATAATGCAAACAAAAAACATAACTCTGATAATGTGCACTGTCCTTGAAGTTGATTGGTCCGCACCCGAGACAGCTTTCGTTAGAGCCTAGTCTCACATGGGTTGGACTCTAACGAAAGCTGTCTCGGGTGTGGACCAATCAACTTCAAGGACAGTGCATACATTATCAGAGTTATGTTTTTTGTTTGCATTACGACTGTAGGTATTGTGGTCTATGTAAACATGACTCCTTGTAAAAAAAAGGTGTCAGTTTTGTTGCCAGATAGAAGGGTAACAAAAACAATTATCATATTTTGACTGGCAAATGAGGTTCCAATGGAGCCGCAGAGTTGTGGAGGTCTCCCTCCTCCCCGTTCAGGTCCTCAACAGAGACGGGGGACAAACGCGAGGCGATGCTCACGTGACCTCACCCACAAGTTCATGTTCCTGTATTAGGTGTAGCCCTGTGAGCCATTCGGCTCTTGAATCGGGTGCAACCGCAACAAACAAAAAAACAAAAACATGAACAAAAAACATCTTGTAGTGAATATGTGACTCAGTGCAAACAGAAAATCCAAGAAAAGACAGCAAAACATTGCAGAAAAAAACACCGTACACCAACGCTGTGTGCAAAAATCCCAGTGGGATGCAAGTCAAACAACAACAACCACAAGACAACTTAGATTAAGGCCATCAGTCTAACTCTGTACTACAACAAACAAACGTGGCCAAACCAATACACTTTTCGAAATCACCAAAATAAAGCCATGAAAGCAATGATAAAGCGATCATAGGAACTCCGGCGCGGCTCACGTCGGCCTGCGCAAGCCGCCCACAAACCAACGGCGACGAAGAAGCCCCCGGGGCAATCAAGCTACCTGCGCTGCCCCCAGGGCACGGGCGTCACGTCGGCAGTTGGCGAGCAGCTGGGGGCTGTAGCGAGCCTCCAGGTAGACGACGCCCTGCGCAGCCTTGTCCGCCACCAGCTCGTACGCCACGCGGCGGATCGCCTCCCGGTCCCCACTGCCAACGGTGTGGGGAGGGGGGGGGGGGGCAGGAGAGAGACGGGGGGGGGGAAGGGGGGGGTCAGGGGGGGGGAATGGAGGGTCAGGGGGTGCAGGAGAGACGGGGGGTGGTGGGAAAGGGGGGGGGCAGGAGAGAGAGACGAGGGGTGGGAAGGGGGGGGTCAGGGGGGGGGGGCAGGAGAGAGACGGGGGGGGGCAGGGGGGGGCAGGGGGGCAGGAGAGAGAGACGGGGGGTGATGGGAAGGGGGAGCAGGGGAGGGCAGGAGAGAGACGGGGGGGGGGCAGGGGGGCAGGAGAGAGAGACGGGGGGTGATGGGAAGGGGGAGCAGGGGAGGGCAGGAGAGAGACGGGGGGGTGCAAGAGTTGGTGAGCGGTGCAGGGGGGGGGGGGTCTTATAATACGGCGTCTGAGTGTGTGTGTGTAAGTGTGTGAGTGTGTGAGTGTGTGTGTGAGTAAGTGAGTGTGTGAGTGAGTGAGTGTGTGAGTGTGTGTGAGTGTGTGTGAGTGTGTGTGAGTGAGTGTGTGTGAGTGTGTGTGAGTGTGTGCGTTTGACCACAAACAATAATTTCTGCCCCCCCCCCCTCATTTCAGCCCCCTGTCCCCTCCTCCATCTACTGGCGCTGCGTGTATGTGCGCGGGTGTGTGCGTGTGTGCGTGCGTGTGTGCGTGCGCGTGTGTGTGTGCGTGTGTGCGTGTGTGTGCGTGTGCGTGTGCGCGTGTGTGCGTGTGTGTGTGTGCGTGTATGTGCGCGTGTGCGTGTATGTGCGTGTGTGCGTGTGTGCGCGTGCGCGTGTGTGTGTGCGCGTGCGCGTGTGTGTGTGCGTGTGTGCGTGTGTGTGCACGCGTGTGTGTGCGTGTGTGTGCGCGGGTGCGTGTGTGCGTGCGTGTGCGTGTGCATGCGTGCGCGTGCGTGCGCGTGCGTGTGTGCGCGCGTGTGCGTGCGCGTGTGTGCGCGTGCGTGTGTGCGCGCGTGTGCGTGCACGTGCGTGCGCGTGCGTGTGTGCGCGCGTGTGCGTGCGCGTGTGCGTGCGTGCGTGCGAGAGTGCTCACGCGATGGCCGGCATGTAGAGGGCGAAGTACTCGAGGAACTTGGTGAGCGACGAGGGCTCCCCGTAGCTCAAGCAGCCGTGGAGCTCCCGCTCCGTGTCCGCCGGCAGCTTGACGCCGCGCTTCCTGTGCACAGCGCCACGCGGGGAGGGAGTCAAACTCGTCCCGCGCGAACCCTCCGCTTCATCCTCGCAGCGGCGATAGCAGCGGCAGCGGCTGTCGGCTAGCGCCGCCGTCGAACGAGCGCGGTGGTCGCCGCATCGTGTGCGGCGCTTCCGCGGCCGTCTGGAACGCTCTCTTCCTTGCGGTATGACGAAGAAGCCGCTGGGAGCTGTGCAACTTTTAAATCATCATCGACATTGACAAACTCGTTTCTTTGCTTGTTGTTGTGTTTAGTTTGTTGGCCTTGCCCCGCACACCTCCCGATTAGCACGGTTGGCTACGTACGGTGCGAAAGAAGTTCGACACACGTACAGCAGCACTCCTTGGTCCACACGCAAGTCTGACTCTGCTGCTGACGAGACACTGAATGTGGAAACCGCTCCAGAGTTTGTTTGTGTTGGACCACTGGTCCAGTGGAGAGAGGACGATTTGTGAATTGTCCAGTGGAGAGATGCGGATTTATGAATGAGACCATCCGCTTGTCTATATCGTCGCCCCTCGGTTCGCTGTGACCAAAGACAAAGATCCCCCATATAGCCTTCATAGACTGTTGGGGCAAGTGCTGTTGGCAAGTAGCACCGATGAAGGCCGGCACTGCACACGAGGTTGTGGCTGAGTCGACCTAGGGGATCCCCAAGAGCAGTTCTAATAAATTCGCTGTCACTCTTATTGGTCATGAGTGGGAACAGAACTCGGGACGCCGGGTTCGTCGTGCAGTGCGCTCACCGCTGAGACACAACTACACTCCAGCACTGCGTATGGGGCATGTGTATACATTTACGAGTTTTAAAATGCGTGACTATTTTTGTAAGGTTTAAGCGGTACCCGTTTTATTGCCTCGTGGTGACGGTGATGATGAAAATGATGACGGTGATGATGATAATGTTGATAAGAATGATGATGGTGGTGAAGATGATGATGATGATACCAACGATGATGTTGGTAATGATGATGATGGTGAAGATGATGGTGGTGATAACTATGATGGCTGTGATGATGATTTTGATGTTGATGGCAACGATGGTGGTGGTGATGATGATGATTACAATAAATGATGATGGTAAAAATTATGATGATCACGATTCTGATGGCGATGATTACGATGATGATTGTGACGGTGATGACGGCGATGAAGGGTGAGGATGATGATAATGATGTTTACTCACTTGGCGAATTCCAGAATGGTAGAGGGTCGAATAGCTCCATCCAAATGGATGTGAAGTTCAACCTGCGATGGGGGTGATGAGGAGGTGGGGGAGAGACAGAAGAGGAGATTTGTCAAAAAAAACATCTTCAGCCAAACGATTGCTCAACAACCCCCTGGGACCCAATCATCACTCCACGTGTTTCCACGCAGGGAAGGCAAAGACAAAGATCCCCCGTGTAGCCTCAACAGACTGTTGGGGAAAGTGCTGTGAGTGAGCGCCTACAAAGGCCGGAACGGTACACGAGGGGGTGGGTGGCCAGCACCACGCCCGACCGCCTTTGTCTCTCCAGTGGCGATATTTACACACTGCACCAGGTAGTCATTAAAGGCCGAGTCGATCTAGGGGAGGCCCAAGACCGGTTAAAATATTCGTAACCGGTGTTGGCCACGAGCGGCTATTTTTTTCGCGAAAAGCACTTGCCCCTTCAGCCTGTGCAAGGCTATACGGGGGATCTTTGTCTCTGTGCGTGTGTTGATAGGTGGGGAACAGTAGAGTAGTAGGTCACCGTGCTGCGCTACGAACCCGGCGACCCGAGTTCGATTTCCGTTCGCGGCCAACACCCGGTAACGATTATTGAACCGGTCCTGGGCCTCCCCTAGGTCGACTCAGCCTGAAATGAGTACCTGGTGCGTTGTGTAAACATCGCCACTGGGGAGACAAAGGCGGCCGGGCGTGGTGTTGGCCACCCAACCCCCTCGTGTGCCGTGTCGGCCTTCATAGGTGCTCGCTAACAGCACTTGACCCTTCAGCCTGTTCAAGGCTATACGGGATGTCTTTGTCTTTATCTTTGTAGATAGGGTGCGAGTATTCGTGTTACCCTCCTTGTCTCTCTCAGTGACCCTTGGTCTGGGGTACTAAGGGTCAGTCAGGGTGTGGGTAGACCCTTACCCCTCCCCTCACCACCACGCACCCTTGGCACATTCCGTGTTACACACAAAGGCAACATTATGGCCTAATTATGCCCCCCCCCCCCCCCACTTAATATTTATCAGCAAATCAACCGGGTTGCTAAACCACACAACGTAGGGGTGGACGTCACGGGCACAGCTGTCAACCCATCACGGTCCACCCCGTATTCCTGTACAGGGAAATTGTTGAGTTTTCAGGTCCATACGGCGTTAGAGCCGTTTCAATAGGGCAATAAAAAATAATCGTGTTTTGTCCATTTTGTTTGTGTTTCTCGCTTGCGATGGGACTTTGTAGGATGAACGTTGTGATTTATAAGTGGGCACGGGGTGACCAATACGGTCTGAATTGGTCTGTAATAAGGTAGGGGGGCACTGATAAGGGGTTGACAGCGATGTAAGATAGGGATAGTGCTATGGCTAGTGCTATGGATAGTGCTATGGATAGTGCTATGGATAGTGATAGGGATAGTGCTATGGATAGTGCTATGGATAGTGATAGGGATAGTGCTATGGATAGTGCTATGGATAGTGATAGGGATAGTGCTATGGATAGTGCTAGGGATAGTGCTAGGGATAGTGCTATGGATAGTGATAGGGATAGTGATAGGGATAGGGATAGTGCTATGGATAGTGATAGGGATAGTGATAGGGATAGTGATAGGGATAGTGCTATGGATAGTGATAGGGATAGTGCTATGGATAGTGCTATGGATAGTACTATGGATAGTGATAGGGATAGTGCTATGGATAGTACTATGGATAGTGATAGGGATAGTGCTAGGGATAGTGATATGGATAATGCTAGTGATAGGGATAATGCTAGTGATAGGGATAGTGCTATGGATAGTGATAGGGATAGTGCTATGGATAGTGATAGGGATAGTGATAGGGATAGTGATAGGGATAGTGCTAGGGATAGTGCTATGGATAGTGATAGGGATAGTGATAGGGATAGTGATTGGGATAGTGCTATGGATAGTGATAGGGATAGTGATAGGGATAGTGATAGGGATAGTGCTATGGATAGTGATAGGGATAGTGATAGGGATAGTGATAGGGATAGTGATAGGGATAGTACTATGGATAGTGATAGGGATAGTGCTATGGATAGTGCTCGGGATAGTGCTATGGATAGTGCTATGGATAGTGCTATGGATAGTGATAGGGATAATGCTAGGGATAGGGATAGTGATAGGGATAGTGCTATGGATAGTGCTAGGGATAGTGATATGGATAGTGCTCGGGATAGTGCTATGGATAGTGCTATGGATAGTGCTAGGGATAGTGCTATGGATAGTGCTATGGATAGTACTATGGATAGTGATAGGGATAGTGCTATGGATAGTACTATGGATAGTGATAGGGATAGTGCTAGGGATAGTGATATGGATAATGCTAGTGATAGGGATAATGCTAGTGATAGGGATAGTGCTATGGATAGTGATAGGGATAGTGCTATGGATAGTGATAGGGATAGTGATAGGGATAGTGATAGGGATAGTGCTAGGGATAGTGCTATGGATAGTGATAGGGATAGTGATAGGGATAGTGATTGGGATAGTGCTATGGATAGTGATAGGGATAGTGATAGGGATAGTGATAGTGCTATGGATAGTGATAGGGATAGTGATAGGGATAGTGATAGGGATAGTGATAGGGATAGTACTATGGATAGTGATAGGGATAGTGCTATGGATAGTGCTCGGGATAGTGCTATGGATAGTGCTATGGATAGTGCTATGGATAGTGATAGGGATAATGCTAGGGATAGGGATAGTGATAGGGATAGTGCTATGGATAGTGCTAGGGATAGTGATATGGATAGTGCTCGGGATAGTGCTATGGATAGTGCTATGGATAGTGCTAGGGATAGTGCTATGGATAGTGCTATGGATAGTGCTATGGATAGTGCTATGGATAGTGCTAGGGATAGTGCTATGGATAGTGCTAGAGATAGTGCTATGGATAGTGCTAGGGATAGTGCTATGGATAGTGCTAGGGATAGTGCTATGGATAGTGCTAGGGATAGTGCTATGGATAGTGCTATGGATAGTGCTAGGGATAGTGCTAGGGATAGTGCTATGGATAGTGCTATGGATAGTGATAGGGATAATGCTAGGGATAGGGATAGTGATAGGGATAGTGCTATGGATAGTGCTAGGGATAGTGCTATGGATAGTGCTAGGGATAGTGCTATGGATAGTGATAGGGATAATGCTAGGGATAGGGATAGTGATAGGGATAGTGCTATGGATAGTGCTATGGATAGTGATATGGATAGTGCTAGGGATAGTGCTAGTGATAGTGCTAGGGATAGTGCTATGGATAGTGATAGGGATAATGCTAGGGATAGGGATAGTGATAGGGATAGTGCTATGGATAGTGCTAGGGATAGTGATATGGATAGTGCTCGGGATAGTGCTATGGATAGTGCTAGGGATAGTGCTATGGATAGTGCTATGGATAGTGCTAGGGATAGTGCTATGGATAGTGCTATGGATAGTGCTATGGATAGTGCTATGGATAGTGCTAGGGATAGTGCTATGGATAGTGCTAGGGATAGTGCTATGGATAGTGCTATGGATAGTGCTATGGATAGTGCTATGGATAGTGCTATGGATAGTGCTATGGATAGTGCTATGGATAGTGCTAGGGATAGTGCTATGGATAGTGCTATGGAGAGTGCTAGGGATAGTGCTATGGATAGTGCTAGGGATAGTGCTATGGATAGTGCTAGGGATAGTGCTATGGATAGTGCTAGGGATAGTGCTATGGATAGTGCTATGGATAGTGCTATGGATAGTGCTATGGATAGTGCTATGGATAGTGCTAGGGATAGTGCTATGGATAGTGCTATGGATAGTGCTATGGATAGTGCTATGGATAGTGCTATGGATAGTGCTATGGATAGTGCTATGGATAGTGCTATGGATAGTGCTATGGATAGTGCTAGGGATAGTGCTATGGATAGTGCTAGGGATAGTGCTATGGATAGTGATAGGGATAGTGCTATGGATAGTGCTAAGGATAGTGCTATGGATAGTGATAGGGATAGTGCTATGGATAGTGCTATGGATAGTGCTAAGGATAGTGCTATGGATAGTGCTATGGATAGTGCTAAGGATAGTGCTAGGGATAGTGCTATGGATAGTGCTATGGATAGTGCTAAGGATAGTGCTATGGATAGTGCTATGGATAGTGATAGGGATAGTGCTATGGATAGTGCTATGGATAGTGCTAAGGATAGTGCTATGGATAGTGCTATGGATAGTGATAGGGATAGTGCTATGGATAGTGCTATGGATAGTGCTAGGGATAGTGATAGGGACAGCATCCCTGTCAACCCACACGGTTCACCCCGTATTCTCGTCCAGGCAAATTGAGTTTTCAGGTCCATACGGCGTACAGCCGTTTCAATACGGGCAACAAATTGTCCAATTTTGTTTGTGTTTCTCTCTTGCGATGGGACTTTGTAGGATGAACGTTGAGATGTATAATGGGGCACGGGGTGACCAATACGATCTGAATTGGTCTGTAACAAGGTGGAGCACTGCCAAGGGGTTGACAGCGATGGGGGACGATGGGTGACAGCGGGCCCCGGGAGGAAACACAACGAGCGCTGCTCGCGCTGGGAGCAGCAAGAGGTTGGCGGATCTCACACGGATTGTTTGGAACTCCCTTCTACCCGTGCGTGGGCGTCGAGTAGGTGGCCGTACCACCGTGGCTCTGCCAGGAGAAGGCGGTGCTACAGGAGAAGGTGGTGCTACAGGAGAAGGTGGTGATACAGGAGAAGGCGGTGATACAGGAGAAGGTGGTGCTACAGGAGAAGGCGGTGCTACAGGAGAAGGCGGTGCTACAGGAGAAGGTGGTGCTACAGGAGAAGGCGGTGCTACAGGAGAAGGCGGTGCTACAGGAGAAGGTGGTGCTACAGGAGAAGGTGGTGATACAGGAGAAGGTGGCGCTACAGGAGAAGGCGGTGCTACAGGAGAAGGTGGTGCTACAGGAGAAGGTGGTGCTACAGGAGAAGGCGGTGCTACAGGAGAAGGTGGTGCTACAGGAGAAGGTGGTGATACAGGAGAAGGTGGTGCTACAGGAGAAGGTGGTGATACAGG